ATATATTGTGACTTATTCATGAAAAATCGCTTATATACACTGAGAAAAATGTTTAGATTAATTGAAATTCTAGTTGAAAATTGAATCAGAATTTTCTGCTCATTAACTACATTTTTAATTAAATTTACTAGAATTCTGGTTAAGATAATCAAAATTCTGATTGATATAATCAGAGTCTTCTGGTTCATCCATTTTCAATCAAACATTTTTCTCAGGCTTTCTCTGAGAGAAATTATTTAATTAAATTTAAAATCATACATAATGTAAACGATGGACGTTCTGGCTCTGCTTTGAGCCAAAACATCCAATCGTTTAAATTATATATAATTTTAAATTTAATTAAATAATAATAATTTGCGCATCACTTACTGTACTATACTCTTGATAATTGTTATATTTTTACATTCTTTACATTATCAAGATTCCTTGTACAATTCATAACATTTCTCTGTTTGTTCTGATGTAATGATCAAATAGTTTGTAAAATTATTTAGAAAGCTTTTCTCCTCTCTCTGGTATTTCGCGCTCTGTAAACAAATTCTCTGACTGTTATTGCATCGGTCTTGACGATGAGCGGTACTGAAGTTTGCAGACGATTGGCGCCTAGCGGGCGGCGACTTCCGAGGTCAATCCTACGAACGTTGATTCAAAAAGTTTTGACGCGAATGAAAAGAGAAGTTTTGCCGGACGCCGTTGGTTCGCATTGCCAAGGTCAATCTAATCTTGGCTTTGTGTAGGTAAGGGGAATCACCGACATATCGCTACGCACGCAGATATGCCGGTCATTAATAACGTTGAGCATCCATGATAGAACACATCCGAACCAGTTCTCAGAAGTAGTACTTGAACAATCTTAAAGAACCGCGAAATGAGTTTGGCAACGTGCACTGATGAGAATAATCAATATTGTGGTTAGAAATTCTAATTTACAGATTGTCTTATTAATCTGTCCTTTGATTGCGAATTTACACAAGTTAAAACTCAATGTATGACTAATCTGATAATTTAATTAATATTAATAATTATTTTAATAAATAGTTTAATAATTGATTTATACACATTTAATTATTAAAATAATTAATATAATATTTATTATAGAGATTATTCAGTATTTATATATAGTACAAAACATAATTTATTAATATATATTATCAACAATTATAAATTTATAAACGTAATATAAAATGAAATATTAACGAATAAAGGATGTTCCCATGAATGTAGGACATTGTTAGATTAAATGTCGTTCGTTGCGAAGCAAAACGATTTTTGACGAGAGTGGCAGCTATACAGCTATACAGCAGGCAGGTGTCTTCCGTCGTTTCGTGCAATATGACTGTTGTCATGATTCGAAGTGATATTTCAAGGTAAGTCGGTGCTATCTTCGGCGCCGCTGATGCTCGTGAAAGTTAATCTCAAGTTCGGCAGGGCGGAACGAGCTTATGATTTGGCCCACGTTCCGCGTGAATTACGTGAATGACGGGCAAAACTAATGTACTATCCCATCGATCTTATTATATTCTGTCGACATATGGATACTGAAGCGATCGATTCGTAATCTTCGTCTTACGCCAAGCATGCAGGCATTGTGCAATCCGGCGTTGACAAAATTAGTTTTAATAGTAAACACAAATGGGACAGTACAAATAACCTGTCGGAAATAAATCTTTTCGTTGCCTTCGTCATCACAGTAAATCACTGTTTATTACAGTGTTATTTTCGGTATGACACTTTTTCAGAGATACGCTCCATTTTATCGAAACAAATTGCTGGCAGAAGCTACAGGACGTGTTGCGTCCTATAACTCTGCACTGTCTATCCTTGGTAGAAATTTCATGCATTCTTTGAGTTGTTACTCGATAGTTATATTAAGTTTATTTAATAACAAAAGTAAAACTATTTAGATTCTAAAAAAGACGTTTCACTACATATACCGATTGTTGCGAAGAATATTACTAAAGCCTCGGTAGTCTAAAGGCATAGGACGCTCGTACGGAATACAAGAGATCTGTTTTCGACTCCCGGCCGAGGTAATATTTTTCGCAATAAATTTATTTATAGTTTTTCAATACATTAACATCTTTCTAATATGATGTCAGATTGAGCAACAAATTATTAAATTGCTTATCAATTTAATTTGTGATATTACTATACTCTCTAAATCTGAATCAGTGGATAGTTACTAATTACCCAGTGGTATTTGGCACTGGATAATTAGTGAAGCTCAACTAAAAAAAGAGAAGAATGTTTGAGCATTATGTAACTAAAATACTGATATTTGCACATTAATTTCAATGTTCTAATACCATATTTATTGAATTTATGCACTAAAACAAAGTTAGTTAAATCTCATAATAAAGATTAGCTAGGGATCTCATATTTCAATCACTGATTACCAGTAGTATACTTGGCACTGATATCAGTGATTCTCCACTGATTCAGATTTTGAGAGTAGTAGTTTGATTGCATTTACAAGTTGGAAAAATCGTTTCGGCGCGCAGTTCAAATAACTACATATTTAGTATATTCACACAGAAATTTTTTAATAGCATTAAAGATCCAACTTCGATCGGTATAGGCTTCTAGTTTATTAATTGTGTTCTCACATGTACGGTCTAAAATCAGATTCTAATTGTTTATTTAGATTCTAATCAAGGTACAATGCTTTGCCTGCAGTTACTGCACACCAAAGGAATGTACAATTTAAATCGATTTACTGAACAAAAATAGAACAATAATTGTTTAGGAAATGCTGAATTTAGTAGGTTGCGGCAGGACTGAAAGAGACTTTATTTAAATGTATTTTAATATGCTCGTTTATTATTCGCGATCTAATTACATACGTCAATATGTGACAACTGCAGTCAATACTGTCAACAGATGAAACCTGGATTATTGTTGCGTGACCTCTCTAATGCTCAGCCTGTCATACCTTCCGATCGAAGTTTTCTTTCAATCTTTCGAGGTTTTAAATTTTCTATAAGCAATATACGGCTAGGATATTGCTTGTCTACCTGTGCAGCCTATGTCAATCATATTATGATACTTGCCAAGCATCGGCGTGTGGTATTGCATCCAAACTGTGTCGGAATATTGCTGAAGAAGAGGTACGAAAAAACAAATACCATTTAGCGATTGGTCCCAAACGTTTCTTATTAATATTAATTCTTATTAATATTAAACAGAATTATTCCTGATGATAATGCTGCCCAGGCAGATCAATGCAATCACCACATTTGCACGCAATAATTTTAATAACAACACTTGGAAAAAAAAAATATTAGAACGAGATTAGTTATTTGCCGTAATTTTTTAAACGCTGGATACGCAGCTTCCAAATTGTTCCATCCGACTTCCGAATTGTTCTATTTTTACATATTTTATCATAACTATGATATGTGACATTCTAGAGAAATTTAATTGCCATCAAAATTAGGTATTAAATTGTTAGGACTCTCAATTTTCAAAAAGATTTTTTAATATCCACTATTAATAAGTATAATATTCATAGATATATATAGAGTCTATTGTGGAAAAGCGAATTATATACCTGAGTCATTAGCGATTTATCAAATAGCTTTCTATTATGTTTAAACATAAGAGTTTTTTTAGGTCGCTATATACACGAATCCGATGTCAAACTTGACAAATTCAGTATTATAAAAGACATCTATACATTTTGCAACAATCCGAACATTTTTCAAGTTTTGACATCTGTCATATTGAATCCACTATTTTAGTTTGTTAATTTTGATATCGGATTCACATTCCTTTTTTACAAATTGAATTGTAAATTTTTTTAAATTGTAACGTGATGAAATAATTTGGGAAGCATTCATGTTCAGCGTATAAAAAACTATGAAAAATCATTGGTCTTATTCCAGTGTTAGAAAAAAAATTATCTTCTATCGAACAATGTAACCTATTAATACTAGACAATAACTAGGCAGATGTTTATACAAGTGTTGCACAGCAGAAAACCTTCAGTCATTGAATACAGCTTTATCAAGTTCTTATTCATTTCTTATACGCAATGTCATTACAACTAATGAGAATACAGAAATGCCAGACAGTTATCCAATGAATGTCCAGAAAAACGGTATACATTTCTACCAGAGACCTCAACCAAATGAAAACACAAATCACTATGTAACTAAGAAACGCTCGCAAATAATGATAGCCTGTAAATTAGTAGCGATCACAAAATATCCGATCTTGCATTCGATGAGAATTACGATCGGTACCACCGTACGTATCCGGAAAGATACGGAAGACGATCATCAATTGCCGAGATCGTCGATAGATCTGCGAGGGTTCTTCGGTATACAGTTACAGAATGGTCTCTCACGTCACGTGCTCTTCCTCGGTATTTCATGCAAACGGAGCGGCGTATTCGCGAAGGGGAAAAGCATCGATAGCTCGAGCTCGCGTGTGCGATTGTACGTGGCTTGCCAAGTCGAACCCTTGACTCGATTTTAATCTCCACCATCGATCCGGGGAGAACTCAACGGTAACTGACTTTACGGCTTTCAGCTCTCACGACAACATCGGACGTACACGAAAGCGTTCTTTTATTCGTTCCATGATTCGTGAAAACGAATTATTCGCGTTTTGGAGTTGGTCTATCCGGCATCGTAACGCATAACAATACTCGATTGATTGATTTTATGACAATTTTCCGTGTATCATTAAATAATGTAACTTTTTCTTAAATATGATCATTGAGTAAGAATAACTAGGAATACATTTGCTATAATTTTGTGTTACGTTGTAACAACTATATGTATGTTTTAAAGTTAAACGTGGATTACATGTGTTGCATGTCATGTCGACGATTGTTAAATAATTCCCTGTTATTGTCATAGTTGCGCAATCTCTTCATTACGCTGTGATTAACGACATGAGGAATATCGACAGTTAAAAAAATCTCGCTAGTTACCCGCTTCAGTTGTCCAGAAATTTAAAAGAAATCGATTTTCTTCGCAATGATTATTACTCACCGTATTAGTGACATCCGCCTGCATGGCCGAATCGTCATCGACTCCAGTTTTGACGAGATCGTCTTCCTTCTCGTTATCCGGGTTGTTCAGGTACTCGTCGTAATCTTGCTCGAGGCTTTTAGTCTTAGCCTGAGGATCGGTTTTCGTCTCCTGCCGATCGTGACCCTTGACCATCCTACCGATTGTGTTTTTCGAGGATTTATGTCCGACGGATTTGACGGTCGAGTTTACGAAATAATTGGACGTGGTATTAGTAGCGTTAGACGCGTTCGTGAAGAGTTCTACCGATTTGGAAACGTTTTTCGATTCGTACTTGAGATTTTTGTAACCATCGCGCTTCACGTGCTTATTCGGTTCGATGTTCCGGTAATCCCTCTTGACAGTGGTCTTCGGAGTAGTCGGGTCGTCAGACGTAAGTCTTTTGATGATATCATCGTAGGTTTTCAAGAGTGGCTTTGTCCCATTTTTGTAAAAATCGTTATCAAATTCTTCCTCCCCGTTATCTCCGTTTCTCTCGTCATTGATATCTTTCCAGATATCGTCGTCGTCTTCATCTTTATCGTCCTCCTCGAGCCCGCCATGGTCTTCGTAATCTTCGTCCTCCTCTGCCTTTTGCTCATCCTTTTTCTTTGCAAAATTGTACTTTGTGTCCGAGGAATTAAGTTTTTTCTTCCAGTCGTCCGTCCATCTCGTCACGTCGCCACGATCGACGACATCTTCGCGATCTTCCAAGCGATGTCTCTTCGCCCCATGATAGCCGTTCATTTTATTTCTCCAGTCTCTCCTGTAAGACGGGTACCGCCTAGAATTTCTCCGTCGTTCGTAATTGTCCCCGCCGTTTCCATATCTATACGGCCTCTCGTAGTCGTAATCTTCCTCCGTGTCGTCGAAGTCCGACACGTCGCGATTGCGCGAATACGCGGGCCTATGGTGAGTCCTGCCGGGTCTGTATCGATGATTCTTCGTATTATACCGTAATGGCATCCTGCGTCTGTCGTTATTCTCATCATACCAGCCGCTTCCAGCGTGGTATCCATCGTTATGATACCTAGATGGATAGCGCGGCTCGAGCATCCGGTTGTGATAACTCTTCTGTGCAGGTCGATGATGCGACCTGGGATAATCGTGATACGATTGCGTCTCATAATCATCTTCGTCGATCGGATCGTCGAAGTCACCTTCGTATTCATAATCCACCTCCTGCCAGGATCTTCTGTCGAGCTCGTGGTGGTTCCTTCGATTCGAGGACTCGTGTCTATGCCTGTGTCGGTGTCTCGTCTCCGTCGTCGCGTCCTCGTGCTGATGGTACCGGCATTCGACCACGAACAGGCCGTAAGCCATCAGCAGACCCAGCAACAGCAGCAGCCTTCTGTCGCGTGTCATTTCGTCAGCACCGTTTTTCTCAGGTCACCTTACATCATCACGGACCACGTGACTGCGGCTTTCGCGCGGTCGCACCTGTCGATCACCTCTCGATACCTCACCGGTCGCGTGCCCCTCAACGGCACATTGAGCCCGCTCGATTGTCGAGCAGCAGCAACAACACTCGTTACAATCGGTGTTACGTCGATCATTCCATCGATCGAACCGAAACGGGACGCCGCGGCGCCGCGCCCTGCCGAACGATTTCTGCTGATCAATTGACAATTCAATCCGTCAATTTTCCCTGACCGCAGGCTCGTTTCTATCTCTCTCTCTCTCTCTCCCTCTCAATTTAACCACACGTCGCGGCGGCGTCGTGGTTGTAGTGACCACGTGGTGACCGCGGAACCTGAAACGACGAAGCAATTCCGGAGGGTGACTCCTTTTGGCGTGATTCCAGTGCAATCTGTGATGAAAACCGCCGCAAAACGGAGTCCGTCACTAATTGCTTGTGTCACCTAAATGTCACATAAAATATCGGAATTACTCGACTCGTCAACAATGATTCGTCGACAGTGTCATTTTACGCTGCTCCGCATTTTTGCAAATTACCGCGGTTGGTCTCAAACAAGAATCTATCCTTTTAATCTTTTAATAATTATTAAGTATTGTCCGTACTTAAGCTCTGCAATTCAAGAGTCCACGACTGGTTAAAAGTCGATTTGTTCACCACGCGTCCCAAACAATTCAATAATCTTCTCTGCGATTGTTTTTCACCAGATTATTATCTCAGGATATTTTTCGCAACAAGAACATCCCCTAAACGATATCCTTTGTACGTATCATCTAATTCTGATGATTTCAGCGTGCAATTGTTACGAGTCTTTTCCGTTCACCACCAGTTTCTTCGCAGGGGGTAGTTCGCTATATCGGGCACGGACGGATTCGGTGGAACCCGGAGGGAGGAAGACGCGACACGTTCACGCCGAATCGTATCGCGGACAGAATGTCGCGGACGACTGAGGCCAGCCGGAGTCTGGCGGCCTGGCCGGTAGTCTGAGAGATCGCGGAACGCACCGCGCATGCGTACGAGCGATATTCGCCTCCACTGTCCCCCTTTGTGCCGCACCGACCGTGGTACCCCGCCGCCGTCGTCTCCTTCGCCCCTTCGTCCTTCGCCTTTACCTCTGCAAGAAACCTTTGCGCACGGTGTTTCACGGACCTCGCGATGATGCACCGTGAAACAATAGGCATCGGTGTGGCGAGGGGAGAGAGAAAGCGAGACAAGTTCGTGGACGCGATGGGCCGCATCTCCTCCGGATGTACTTCGGGGGTACGAGAGAGATGTACCCCTTAACCCCGGAAATAGTCATCTGATTTTTTACGTAAACGATTACCTGGGGTGTTTTTACATCTCAATTAAAATCTATTATTAACAACAACGTATCGTATATTATTGATTGATGTTCCGATTATTAGTACTTGAGAACATTAAATATGGATTTAATCACAGTTTACTGAAAAAAGTAGAAATAAATAAGCACGTTAAGATTATTATGACAATATTTCTAAAAAAATAAAGATTTAATTAGTATAAGTTTTTTTTTATCGCGGATTTTCGATGATATTGCATATAAAAAATTTAAAGGTTTGTAAAGAATAATTCTTAAAAAAAATATGTTAAACCATATCTTTACTTAACAATATTTCGCAACAGTTTACACTTTTTTGCTACTGACTGAGATACAAAAATATCCCAGGTGACTATTTCTGGGTTAACAGCCATTACTTCTAAATACGTATGGGATCTCTGGCGATAAATCTTTCCGGAAGTAGCTTTCTTTATTAAACAAACAGATAAATTGAGACTTATTCAGTTATTCTATTTATCGTAAGACAAATTTAATATGAAGTACGACAGCTAAGAAGGAAACGATGTGCTCAGCCTTGTCACGCTTTGCCGAGCGAGGTTGGAGAACTGTGAACACAGGTGTGGTCACGCATCAGAATGTAAATGGCATGTACAAATGGCGTAAGAGCTAACTGATATTTCGATCTAAGTGTATTTTTTAAATGTAGGGGTCATTGCGCTTTGGTGGCGATACTTTATGTTGCGCTGTGCAGAAAGTTGGGAAAAAATCGAAGGTGTAGATTGATGTGGCGAGACTTCGTGGTCCTTGGTGTCACGCGTTTGTCGAAACCGGTTTTCAATTTATTTCGAATAGACACGGCATTATCCACATTAGACTCTCATAGAAGTTGCTTCTTGTCTGCGATAAAAGGCATTAAATTGATTTAATATCGAATAAAGCCCGTAGTACGCGTGTCGTTCTATTTGAATGTATCTTAATCACGAGCGAAGTGGATTTAGATAAGAATAATATTTATCCTCTAGTAAAATCTTATTTAAGAAATAGAAACACTGATTGATTTTAAAACCTCTTCATTAAATCACCGTAGTGTTGAAATACACACATCGTAATGATGACTACATTTTAAATTAAAAATGTTTTACATTTACTTTTGAACAAAAATCAATGAATTATTCATATAATAAATTATGATAAATTATGAAGCAACAATATTTGCATGCAAATATAAAAATTGGAACAAAGAAGAGACTACAATTCTAAATGACAGAAGCACAGATGTATCTTACAAGGGGATATATATGGTCAAGTTTAGAGTTAATGGATGATCGATGTTAAAAACGAGACCGCTATCTGTGCTCTTGCACAAAAGTCTTTTTTGCGAGCGATTATCCAACAGTCGCCAAGGCTTTTAGCTGAAGGAGATATCAGGCGAGTGACGCTAAGAAGAGCATTGCAGTTTTAATCCCTCGCGGGAAATCTCCTTGCTCCGATCTTCTTCGTCCACGTCCACGACATGTATAATGCGCGGAACGTACGTTTCTGTCGCGTCTCTCGATTTTACGATCGTCCAGGTCGGACGACAGTCGACCGGCTGGCCTTTTCGCCGGGCGTCCCATTCACTTTCGCACCGCCATTCAGAGATGAGATTCGGAGTAGGACGATGCGGCGAAATTCGAGCCGCAAGGAGAGGAAGAGAAGTTCGTGCTGATAAAAAAGAGAGTAGGGGAACTCCTGCCGTGATATGTCGAGGAGTGAGGTATCGAGGAGGAAACTGCGAGAGAGAATGCGAAGAGGAGGAAGACACCAGTCGTTGATGCCGATCTTGCAACCGGTACAACGAGGACTGGTTTTTCGTCGCGTACGGAGGTCGGCAGGTGCTTTTTGTCGTCCCTTTAAGCCGTCCGTGGTGCTTACGGTGATAAATAAACACGGCAGGCCCTCTCCTCGCGGCTGTCACGTTGTGCCCCATTCCCGATCCAATTGATCGATCTGTAACGCGCGATCTGTCGCCAAGAAATGTCACTGCGGGGCATGCCAACCGGGCCTTTACCGGTGTGCCAGGAAGCTGGAAAAGGGGAAACGGATCGTGCTCTTGCATCTGAAATTGTCTTTGAAGATCGCGTCAGGGTCTCTGTCAGGAAATAGAGTCACCTAACTGATTGTAGCGCACGTGCGTTTTCACAAACCATACGTTTCGTCGGCTTTGCCGTGCACGAGAGATCGGTGAAAGCAAGGCGGTATTTGAAATCAAGTCTTTTCAGTTTCCTTTTTTCTGAGAAACGATCGACGCATGATGTACGATGCACGATCTTATGCACGATTGTTACACGCTTTGGAAATCGGAATTTGCACTTTACATTATACTGAAAAAGAATTGATTGAATTAACTTGAAATAAGTACATAATAACCACTGTTTGAAATACGAACAATCCATTTGGTTAAAATAATTAAACAAAGCTTACATATTTATTATAAACAAAGTTTGACACTAGCGATATTTGTGTCATACCAATCTACCAGAAAATTAAAATTAGTACGTGGCGAGAAGTCGTTGTGATAACTTGTCTCATAAGAGTTCTTTATAACAAGGAAAAGGAAGGAAAAAAATTTTTTAACAACTCATTTGATTGGGAATAATACTATTTTATTCTTTTTGCTTGTTGTATTGTCTTATAATTTAACTGAGAATTGTGTATAATTGACAAAAAGTTATCTGCGAATTTTTTTATATCTTTTGACAAGGATCGACTAATACCAATGAAATACTCGAGTGTTCGGTGAGTGTGGAAAAGAGATTATTTTTTTTAACAGTCTTTCTCATAAATAAGAAATTAATAAATATTCTGTTATGTATGTAATATCTAGAAATTTCAAACATACGGTCAATAAATCGTTTGAGAGAGAAATTTTGTATCTTGGAAGACACTCATCTACCATTCAAGGTCAATCATGGATATTTTTGTAATTTTACCGAATATTAATGGATATCTTGCGAAAATGTTAACTACGTTGGAACATCTGAAGATGGCTTGATATAAAGCCGAAACATGTAATGAAGTTTACTAACGTTAAATTTTTTATTTTATTTAATTTTGTGACATATATATATTTTTAACGTTTTATATGTCCTTTACAACATTATTTGAAATTTTAGAAAATAATTAAATAAATTTAGTTGCATATATGTGTCCTGATTACAGTAACCAGACATATTTTGAATCCGCTTTGCACACTCACGCGTTGTGTACTATATTTTTATATTTTCTATACTCACTGTTAAATCTATAGTGAAAATTTAAGCTAATTTAAGTTGCCACTGCTTCTACTCAATATATCGTTATTGTATACTAAAACAATGGCTAGATTTAACACTATATAGTGTCAAATTTAATTATCGTTTTAGTATACAATAACGATATATTGAGTATTAGGAGTAGTGGCCACTTAAATTTAAATTTTTGATAGTGTAGATTTAACAATGTATAGTGTTTTATACTATATTTTTATAAGTACCACAATAGCTGCTAATACTCTATAAAACTACACTGAGAGAAAAATGTTTTGTATTTGTAACTATGATTATATATTACTATAATTATGATTATTACTGCTATAATAATAATAACAGTAACTATATGTATAGTTGGCAACCTAAAATGACTATATATATAATTACAATTATTATAACCATAAAATAGTTGAAATCACCATAAAAATGATTCAAGTGACTATAATTTTATAGTTATATTTTGGAACAACCATATTTTTTATAAATCATTTTATACATAGTTATTATTATTATACTGTATTACTATTATTATTATTATAGCAGTAATAATCATAATTAAAGTAATATGTAATTATAGTTACAAATACCAAACATTTTCTCTCAGTGTAGTTATAGATATTCAGAGGTGCCAAAGGGTTAGGTTTGCGGGTTATCGCCATGTCGTGATTCATTGCTAATGTCAACGTTTCATGAACCTTGCCGTTCACTTCATCAGAGCGAGGATCGCACTGATACTGATAATACTGATAATTCAAAAGTATAAGTTATAGATATTATGATGTCAATGTTGCCAAATTTATAATTGTAGCTATATCGTTTTCTTTCAATATTTTTATCATAACCATAAAATACTTCGATGCAATAAAAAAGCAAATTGAGGGTAAAGATTAATTCTTTCGACTGCTGTAAACCTCATTTTTATGTTTTATTTTATGCCACAGATCTTTGTAAAGTTTGTACAAAGTTTTCAGATTTGAAGGATATTCATTTGTATCCGTGTAGCTCTATAAAAAAAATCAGACAATTCAATCGCACTGTTTTTCGAATATACCTATTACATAAGCATTAATCAAATTCTAACCTAAATGTTGTATCAAAATATTTGATTACAATAATCAGAAATTCTGTTTACTGTCACCAAAATTTGCTTAACCAAATATATCTTGTTAATTAACTGTTATTATTTGCATGCATTATCTTACGAAACATCGGATGCACGCAGAGATCAAAATTGCTCTTACGTCGCACGATCATTAAAATATTTCACGCCAGACTCATTTTCCTAAATGTCGGGAGTGAGTTGTGTAACACGCGTTGGAGGTCGCGGCACGGAGGCGGAAAAAT